GAGCTTTTATTATGCCACAGTCGACCGCTTCCGTAAGTAAGCAGTGCTGTTTTATCATACTAGATACATTTGAACGTTCTGTTATAATGCTACTCCATGCGGTCGTCACCTGTCTAATAAAATGCATAGCATATTAAAGCGTCTTTGGTGTTTCCATGTTTTCTACAAAACAAAACCGGAAATCGAGGGGTTATGACTTCATTGGCAGGTGACAGAATGGCACTATAGACACGGTCCGTGTCACTAGTTAAAATTGCTTATTTCTCTGGATTTAAACATTCTTCGAAACATTTGGGATAATGTAAGTACACAAGTCAGCAAAATATATAAAACTGTTCTAGTGGTTTTTGGATAATTTAAATTTTTTGTTTTTAATTATTGTGCCTTTAACACAATATGCTTAATTGTCAAGAAAATAAATGGTCCTTAAAATAAATTCTATTTTAATTATGCAAAATACAACTTCTACTTCTTTTGGGGTAAATTATGACCTGAACAAGTTTTCGTGAGGTTCATCCATTAACACAGATGCTAAAAACTCACTGCTTGTCCTGTGACTTCAAAGGATCGAGATCTCCTCTTGCGTCTGCGCCCCTCAAAGTCCTGCTCTCGTGGAGTGGGGTTCTTCACAGCCTGGCGGTTCCGCGGCCGTGTCCATGTGCCGTTGGGTGCGGGACCGTCTCCCGTGCTGCTGGACAGGTTGTCATCGGAGGTGGCGTGGCATAGCTCTGGGCTGGGCTGTCTTCCACGCCGTAGCATCAGGCCTTTAGGGGGCACCTCGGTCAGAGACCGGTTACTCTTGTACTTCTTGGGATCTAGGGGCGAAGGTGGCGGGGGCAATCGCAGGGCATCTATTTCTAGAACCTTAGAACGCCGTCGAGCAGCCTTGACTGTGATGTTCTGCACGCCTCTTAGAATCTGCTGTCTCTCTGGAGGGAAAACAGTTCAGGGATTTTAAAACTATGACTAATTAAATAGACATTATGTAATTTGGCATTAATCTGAGAAGAAGCCATGTAAGATTTGCCTCAACTGACCAATCAGAATAAAGTATTCCAGGGAGCTGTGTAACAGCACAAAGATGAAAGAGCAGAGGAATTCTTACCTTTAGGAGTCAGAGGGGCATCTGTGCCGTTCTCGCTGCTCTCAGGTGAGGAGTCCAGATGGCTGCTCATACTGTGACTGAGATGGCTGCATCTCAGAGCGTCATCCAGGACAGATGGCAACAGCTGCAGAGATACAGTCAGCATAGTGTCAGACACACTCAATTATTCAGTACACTCAGTTAAAAAAACAGAGAAACCAATTCAAATGTAGATTAAACAGAATGTTCACACTTTTTGTGAATATCTTTTCAAATTTTACCATTTTCATATACTACTGTTCAAAGTGGTCAAGACGTCAAAGACATCGCACCAAAGTTGCATTTGTTTGATCACAAATACACTAAAAACCGTAATATTGTGAAATATTTTTACAATTCTTTAAAATGCAATTTATTCCTGTGATGGTAAAGCTGAATTTTCAGCATCATTACTCTAGTCTTCAGTCAGATGATCCTTCAGAAATCATTCTAATATGCTGGTTTGAAGCTCAATAAGCATTTATCATCAGTGTTGAAAACAGTTCTGTTTAATATATTTGTGAAAACCAAGATACTTTTTTCAGGATATATATATAAACCATTAGGCCACGACTTCCCCCAGGTTTATCTTGCAATAAATGGATAACTGTATTCATTAAAACAATTTATACATCATGAATGAGTAAATGAATAAATCATAAAAAAAAAAAATCAAATTGTAATATCAAACCTGTTTGGTGGATATTGTGAGAGGGTCGAACTTTTGTAAGCTGAGGCTGAGCTCTGTGTTGGGGGCGCAGAAGGGGGGCCGGGGGATGACCGTTAATGTGCAGGTGGGGATCAGAAGTGCTGTCCAGGGGACGAAATCGCTCATACATACACATATACATATACATATATATAAAAACTATGTTTTAAAGTATATTTATTTGTCTTTTATTCCCAAACAATTAATAGCATATTATTTAAACTGTAAAATATTTATACTACCATTCATAAGTTATGTTTTTTTTTTAAAGACATTAATACTTTTATTCAGCATTTAGGCATTAAATTGATCAAAAGTGCTAGGTAAAGGCATAACGTAAGGCATATAAATATTACAAATGATTTCTATTTTTAAAATAAATGCTATTCTTTTGAACTTTCTATTCATCAAGGAATTCACACACACAAAAACATAAGCAGCTAAATGTTTTCAACATTGATAATAAGATTTTTTTCCCCACCAAATCAGAATATTAGAATTATTTCTGAAGGATCATGTGACACTGGAAGTAGTTTTTAAATATCTTTACTGTCACTTTTGATTAACCGAATGTGTTCTTGCTAAATAAAAGTACAAAAAAACTGACACCACAATTTTGAACATTAGTGTATAATCTTAAAAAAAATAAAAAATATCTATATGTGACCCTGGACCACAAAACCAGTCATAAGTAGCATGAGTATATTTGTAGCAATAGCCAACAATACATTGTATGGGTCAAAATGATCATTTTAGTTTTTTTTAATCCCAATAATTATTTTTTATTTTATGCCAAAAATCATTAGGATATTAAATAAAGATCATGTTCCATGAAGATACTTTGTAAATTTCCTACCCTAAATATATCAAATCTTCATTTTTGATCAGTAATATGCATTGCTAAGAACTTGCTTTGGACAGCTTTAAAGGTGATTTTCTCAATATTTAGATTTTTTTGCACCCTTAGATTCCAGATTTTCAAATAGTTTTATCTCAGCCAAATATTGTCCTATCCTAACAAGCTTATTTATTCAGCTTTCAGATGATGTATAAATCTCAATTTCTCAAAAAATGGACCCTTATGACTGGTTTTGTGGGCCAGGGTCACATATTACAGTAAGCTGCAAATGTAGACTCCCAGAAGCTCACCTCTCTGTTGCCCTGGCCATTGATGTGAATGGGTGGAGGAGTCATAACTACAGAGTTCTTCATCGGTTTGTGACTACTCTTAAACACTCGGTCTCTGTATGGACAGGAGAACATTTTTAACTTATAAGTAAAAGCATGTGAACAAACTCAACTTTAACACAATATGAAGGAGGTAGTTATATAGCAGTTCTTTTTATGTCCCCAGGACAAGCAGAATGTTCCTTGCTATTTTTATTTTCACATTCACAAAATTCCAAATATTTTTGGCCATTAAAGGTTTCCATACAAGGAAATATATTAAGTTTGCATAAAGAGGGAAATGTCAAAAAAGTATCAAATGAATTTGCTTTGAACTCTTCTTACCCATCAGGCTCTGGGAGAATCGGAGGCAGCGTGTGTCGTCTCAGTTTTGTCTGGCCTTCTCTGTTGTCTGAGCCCAGTGTGCGAACACTTTCTTGGTCTGAATCCATCTCCTGCAAGGGGTCACGACCTCTACTGGGGAGGGTGATCTTGGGTAGGGAACCCTCCTACAGAGATATGTGTTAACATGTTCTTGATCACTCTGAAATACTTTATGCTTTTAACATGTCCTTCTTTTGAAGAGCTTTTAAAGTCAACATGAAACTCATTTTAATGTCATAATGTTCCATGTGAAGGAAAATGTTATGCAGGATTTTGGAAAAATGTGCACTGATGTTTTGTGCAAAATATGAGCAATAATGTGTATTCACAAAGTAAACGGAGTCAATTTTGATTTCATGTTGACTTGAAAATGCCTGCTTGACGTACCTTAAGAGTACGGATGGTGAACTTATCCAAGGCCACGACTCTGTCCAAGTTCTTCTCATCCATTTCCTTCATGTACTAGCTTGAACTGGACTGAACCCTCATATTGCATCACTCTGGAAAACTTTACTGCCACAGTTTGGCCTGATTCATCTCTGGCTGAGATTTCGGTGCCATTTCTTATTCCTGCGAACGACTCACCATCAATAAACTGCCGCTGCTGCTGGATGATCTCATGGCAGAGGTGTCTGTGCTGTTCGAAACGCTGCACTACCACGTTTTTCTGTCGGATCACATTGTCCTTAAGCAGCGCGCTGGACTGCATCTCTGCATTCTCGATCTCCAGCTCGTGAACCTTGCAGAGGAGGCAAAGCACTTCCCTCTGCTCCTCTGAGCTCACACGGCGGGGGAGAAGCTCTTCAAGACGTCGTGCTTTCTCTCTGAGCTCTGCCAGGCGCTGCTCCAATCCGGCCTAAAGAGAACAGAGGGACTATGGTCAATTACTGTGATGAGTGACTTTATTAACATGGCAAGTCATGTACAATTTATCTTTGCTTATAAGGAGTCTCAGTCTAAAAATAGAAAGGAAATGTATTAAGGTAGTATGCACTGCCTATGCAGAGTGTTCCAAATGAATAAAAAGTTATTATAACAAGTTCACTGAAATGAACCGGTTAAACCAACCGATTCACTAAAAGGAATCAGACATAAATGTTAAACTCACAGCGCAGTACTGTGAGTTTTTTGAGGTGTTGTTCCGCCCTCTAATGGCTAATAACAACATTACCTTCTGTTTTCGCATTTTCTTCTGCTCAGCCATGAGCGTGACTAGGTTCTCTCTGGCAATGGCCACCTCTTGTGTCTCTGTGCTGTCAGGCAAAGATTCTGGTGAGTCTGAGTCTTTTTCACTTTCATCCTTATTAAAACTCTCCTTCCTCCTCTCGCCCTGCCACTTCTTTCTTCTCCTGAAGCGTTCTTGCTCCCAGCTAGATGGAGACAGATAATATTTCAATGATCAAGCATTTATTTGAAAGAAAGTTAGCACAAGCAAAAGTTTCAAATACAACATTTCACATAGTCTGAAATGATAAAACAACTGATGATAGTGTTCATGACTGTGGATATGATAGTCTTCTGACTAAAGTGTCAAAACAGCTTCAGGGCAACGTGTGTATTTAGCTATAATCTTGTTTTAGTTTGTGTGCAGAATGAAGACTCACTCTGCAATTGTCAGCAGGTGTTTGGATGTGTCTATCTGGATTTCCATGTTGCTGTTGTCCAGCTCCATAAGACGCTTCCTGATGTCCATCTGCTGTCTAAACGCATCGATCAGCTGCTCCCGCAGTTGGTCCATCTCAGCCCGGCTCTGCTGAGAAGAGTGAGCCTGCACCTCCGCTAGAGGCAAACACAAAAAAATATGTTATGACACACTTTTGAGTGAGAATAGAACAGAAATAGAATAGAATAGAAAACAATCTAAGCAGAAAATTATCTATTAGTGATATTTAGAAAATAATCTAATGAAAAAATAGTCAAAATAATATCTTAAATAAATATTAAACATTCATAATATAATACAACAAAATCAATTAAAATTATATTCTAATCAAACAGAAAAGAACCAGAAAGAACAGAAAGACCAGAATAAAACAGAATAGAATGTAATCAATTAGAGAAGGATCTAACCAAACAGAAAACTATGCAAAAAATAATAGATACAGAAAATAATACAATAGAATAGACCAGAATCATCTTATTAAAAATGATCTTATCAAAAAGAAAATAACAAAATAGAATAGAATCAATTAGAAAATTATTAAACTAACAGAAAATATATATATTGGAATAGAATATGACAGAACAATCAATTAGAAAATAACCTGATCAAACAGAAAATAATTTATTAGAATATAATAGAACAGAATAATTTAGAAAATAATCTAGTCAAATGGAAAATAATCTAATCAAGCGGAAAATAATCTACTAGATTTAAATAGAACAGAATAATTTAGAAAAGAATATAATCTAACAGATAATAATCTAATCAAGGAAAATTATCTATTAGAATTAAATAGGCCAGAGTAGAGTAGAGTAGAGTAGAATAGAATAGAATTCAAAGTAAAATTGTGGTGATATCAATGGTACATATCACTTCTAAGGAAAGATAGGATGTTACCTTGAACATGGCGGATATCTGTTCTGTCCGGGTTGAGCTGTCTGCTGGCCTGGTCTGCTATCTTTTTCTTCAGCCGCTGAATCTCGCTGCGCAGGTCAGAGATGATGCTGGTGTACTGGGCGATGTGATAGGACACATTCAACAGGTTTCTCTTTACCTGCATAGGAAGAATAACATGACACAGAGTGATAAGATATAACAGTCAAAAAAACTCTTCACCAAACAGTTATATTGAGAAACGGCATTACAAAGTGTGTAACAAAAATAATGCAACAATCTTACTGACAAAGAAAATAAAATCTTACTGACCCAAACTTTTGAATTGTAATAATGGGTTACTAGGTTGTCCATTGTTTTATCATGTGTTAAACTAACCCGTGTGCGGATGCTTTTGGCACGGTCCGCATAAGTCAAGGTATTCCGTGAATCCTCAAAGGCCAGAGATGCAGGGCTTATATGGGCAATCATCATCGTCCGACTGTTTCCTCCCAGCGAATCCTGCAGTCATGAGTAAACCCAGTAAGACAACCAAAATCAAGAAAAATATCCCATATGCCTCTCTGTTCATGAAGATTCACTTCACTGTACCTTGAGCAATCGCGTGAGCTTGCTGTCTCTGTAATTGACATATTTGTTGCCATTCTTTTCGCTCAAAGCATTGATGCAGTTCCCCAGCGCAAGCAAAGAGCGGTTGATATGAGCGCCCTCTTTTAACCTTTGACCCCTGTTCTGTGTCTGAAAGCAGAAACAGTAGTTATTGCACCAAGTTTTTAAATTGTCAGTCTACATGCAGGTTAGGAAATCTGTTAGAGCTTCCAGCAGGGGGCGCTCTTGCATATTTCATTTTCTGAATAGTTGTGCAACAGGCTTGTCTTCCTCATCAATGGAGAACAAACAAGCACTCATGTTTCTGAGCAACAATACCCCATAACCAGAAACAACATGATCTGCTTTTGTGCCTGTCACATGCATGTTTAATCCCACATGGTGCCTGAGTGGTTAACATTTTTAACTGTTTCCATGGCAAATACATGGCACGCTCTCTAAATGTGTTCTCTCATATCTTCCAATCTCATGGAGTGAGTGGAAATTACACTTTAATATTAAACATGATTCACATGTGTTTCATCAAAATCACCTGATTGGACCTGTGGAGGTGTTGCATCATAACGGATGAAATAATCAACAAATAGTTTCATTTCATTTTCCCTCCAAGTTTATCACTAATAGTTAAATCACTCTTGGAATTGTTCCCTCGTCACTGGCTGATATATGATTCTGAATATATCTGGCGCTAACTGTGCCAGCTTTTATGTAAAAAGAAAGATTGATAGCCTTATATTAATGATTACCAACTTTATAGACGTATGTTTGAGCTTACCCACTGTGCTTTTATGTTCTAACTAGACTAAAAGTCTAAGTCAAAACTACCTGTGAAGCACGTTCAGACCCTGCCAGATCGATCATGAAGAGACGTGCGAATCGCACTTCCTGCAGGATGTCTCGACATCGGCTCTGTTGCCGTACGGCCACCTGCAGCACAGCGTGAGAGCGAGAAGACGTCTGATTGGCTGCTGTAGGCTCTTGAGTTCTCTGCTTGTTTCCTTTCATTAACAACTCCATGATCTGTGAGAGAGCAAAAACAGAGAAAAAAAACAACATCCAGCTCCACAGTACCATTCATAAGTCTGAAGTTGACAGGATTTTTTATTTATTTTTTGCAAGAAGTCCCTTATGCTCACCATGACAGCATTTATTTGATCAAAAATACAGTAAAACAGCCATGTGAAATACTATTATAATTTAAAATTACTGCTATTTTATTTATATATATATA